CTGTTATGTATTTTAAATATTTTCATGATAATATCGATATGAAAAACGTACATAAAGTACACTTGATATAATGCATTTTAAATAACATTTTAAGAACTCACTTCAATAATACTAGAAAAAAAAGACATAAATTATGAATAAACGATTTAGGAATGAAAGATATATTTGATACATATGATACGAAAAATGAAGGTTTTATTAAAGCCAGTTTACTCGGAAATATTCTTCGTACAATCGGTTTCAATCCAATTGAAAGTGATGTTCAACGAGCAATAAATGAAGTTGATTCACAAAGTATCGAATAAAAATACAAAGATTTCAATATCTAATTCATGTTTTTTCTTCCTTTTCTTAAGAAACTGATCAGTTAAAATTTCCTGATTATGTTCGTGCTGTTTTAAGTATTCCAACAAGTGTTACCGATAAAGATATCATTCCTGCATTTCAAGTATTCGATACAGAAAAACGTGGTTTACTAGAAGTTGATGAAATTTTAAAAAGTTTAACAAATGTTGGAGAAAAATTAGATGAAATCGAAGCTAATGCATTTAAAGAAAGTATTAATATAAATGAACTTGGTCTATTTGATTATAATGGTATGAAAAATAAGAAAAAAATTCTCATTTTGTTCTTTAAATATTTATTTTATTTTATTTTTATTTAGAATTTTTTCTTAAGTTTACGCAACCACCTGAAACCAAAACAAAGAAAAAAGGAAAGAAAAAGAAGAAGAAAAAATAAATATTTATAAAAACTTGAGAAGTTTGTTTTTTTACACTTATGCTGTCAAAGGAAAATATTTTTATGAAAAGAAAAAAAAGATGTCACTTAAAGAATACTAATAGAATTAATTACAACCAATAACTTCATGCAAAATAGTACGATATTGTTCTTGAGTTATATCTAATTCACCACCAGTATTAACACCAGGTAAATGAATTTCTGCTGCTAATTGTCGATCTTGTGTAAGAGACTAAAAGATTAGAAAAAATACAAATTTAGTTTTTGTCTTTGTTCTTTTGAATACTAACTTTAGAAAACTGTGGATTTGAAAATGTTTTCATAGTTGTTTGTATTATTGAACCAGGAAGAATATTACTTTGACATTGATTTAGACGATGATTAAGCTAAAAAAAGCACATTAATAATTATTGAAAGAAAAACAAACAATAAAAACATGTTTTTACATTAAATGCTGTTTGATCAACTAATTTCATTTTTGAACGTATTAATTCTTGTTTAACAGCAACATTTTCTCCTGTTATCTTATAATTAGCAATTGTGGTAAATAAATCCTACGAAAATGTGAAAAACGAACAAACATTTTAACTTATGCTTTCAAATTCTATTATCAATTAAACATACATTTAAAAGTAATGTTGAACTTTTATAAATATCAGCTATTTCATTAGTTTTATTATCTTTTAATGGTATTTGAAGTTTCGATAATTCATTTGATGTACGCGTTATTTTTAATTGCCATAATTCATCTTTTAATAAACGAATCGTATTTCGAAGTGCTATTATCTATAACAAATATAAATAGACAGATAGATAGAATCTATTTGACATTCAATAAACAAAAATAGTACTTCTTGTTCATTGACTGTTGATCCGATCATTCCTTCATTGCTATATGATGATGATAATTGTCGTTGTGGAGAAATTCCACCATCAGTTGTTGGACCTTAATTAAGAAGAAGTTTGATAATGAAATAGAAAAAGAAATTATAATTAATTACTTAGTAGACCAGATGTTCTTTGTGTTGCACCAACTTTTTTCTGTATAAGATCATCAACAAGTTTGGTTTTTGTTAATTGTTTAAGACGCTCTTTTAATGCACTTTTTTCTTGTTCAAGTTGTTCATTATCATTTTGTAATACAGCTATAGCATCTTCGCATTGTCTATATAAATATAAGTAAACTATATGAAATAATCCATCATCTTAGAATAAAAAAGTCACTTCTAAACTTTTCGAAAATATGAAAATGTTATTAGTATTTACAAAAATTTTATTTTTTCTATTATTGCTGTAATAGTGTTACAATAGGATAATCTTGCAATATACCTATACGAACAAATAATCGATAAATTTAAGTAAAAATTTTGAAAAAATATTTCATGCTTCTCTCATTACTGTTAATATCCAAGTTTATTTTATATTTGATCAAACGTTAAGAATTTCATGTTTTACTTTTCAACATAATCTTTCTAATTTCAAAAACAATATACCATAAAAATTCCTCATCTTCCAAATGTAATATCTTTTATTTAGACAAAAACTTCAAAAAATAATTTTCAAAAATTCAACAAAATATTTGCATTCAATACTACCAAGTTTAAATAAAAAACGATCACTTATTCGTTTCGCAAATATTTTCCTGGTTTTCGTAATAGGAAAAAATATCTATTAGTGCAATCTTTATGGAATTAAATTGTGTAATATGATCTAGCTGCACGGGGAGATTGTTTTTTTTTCATCATCCTTGTATTCAATTCTCCAGAAATGCAATAAAAAAATTGTTCACATATGAACAACGTCTGCGGGTGTTAGGATTTCTACCTTCATATTTCAATAGTCTGTTTAAATCTTTTTGTTACACAGAAATAGAACTACAATTATTTTCAATAAACATTCAAAGACTTTTTGGTCATGTTTATTTATTCTATCTCTAATTGACTTTATACACCTATAGATGTTAACCAATCGAGTATTATTTTTCGACTCTGATAGATAAGGAAATCAAAAATTGTTTGTGATGATTATTAATTGCGAATGCTGCTCACTTGATAAGTGTAAGTCTCTTTTCCTAGATGATTTATGAGATATAAATATTTAACTTCCTAGACCATAAAATGTTAATAACTTCTGATTGAAGATAGATGAAAACTTTTTCTTTTTATCACAGTATAGTCTTTACATTTCTCAACATATAATATGCCATTAAATTGTTATCTATTAATAGTTTCTTAAACACAGCTTTTTTACGATCCAATGTCACTTTTGATATTTGAAACCCTCTTTCAAGAAAATTGCAAAATTCACCCCAGGAATATTATTTTCATTTCAGAATTGCACTAGATACCCTGAAGTGTCTATTGACTATTGACACAAAATATCAGGGCTAACTAGTATTATTTTAATGTCGGTCGTAATCATTTTAAAAAAATAAGAACAATTAAAATGTAGAAGAGACCAATATCCATAAGTTTAATATAGTCCAAAAAGATTTCACATTCGTTCGAATTCTGAAGTGTCATATTATGTTAGACCTTTTATGAAATGATTCTTCAGCGTGTATGACATTATACAATTTTGATATTGAATATTTAGCTTACTTGATTTTTTTTTCAGCATCAATTCGAGCTTCTTCTAAAACTTGTTTAAGTTTATTAGCTTTTTCATCAGATTCTTTTTGTAAACTTTCAACTCTTTTCTCATTCAATGATAAACGTATATTTAATTCACTTAATTCATCATGTTTTAATTTAAACATTTTTTTAAGATCAATTAATTCTTCTTCTTTTAATTCTAAGCGCCTACGAATTAAATCTGCTTCATTCATTGATGCTTTTAATTGTTCAGCAATTAAATAAATTGCTTGTTTAGGCTAAAAACAAGGAACAAATCAATAATTATAATGTTGTTTTCTATTTGTTTATTTTTCTTTTAATTTACTTTTTCATTTGGTTCATTTGAATCAAATAAACCATGTTCAAGTGAATCACTAATTGTTTTTAATGTTGAAACAGTTTCATGCATAGAATCCCTTTATAAAGTATATGATTAAATGTATGAAAAAAGATCAAAATTTTTTGTTTATTTACCAAAGACTATCATATGGACCACTATCTTCTTTTTTATAAACTTTATCACATGCCTGATATGCAATACTTTCAATATCTTGTACACTTATACGTTCATTAGCATCTTAATAATAAATGAAAAATATATCCTTTGGGACAAAGTAATGAATATTACCAGCAAGTAATAAAATTTGAGTTGTTAAATCAGAACATATCTCATGAAATGTTTTAGCTAAACGATCTAAATGTTGAATGGTTAATTCAATCGAGGATATTGTATCTGTATCAAGAGTTAATGAATAATTCATATCATCTTCATGTGATACAAGACGATTAATCTAATAGAAAAAAAATTAAAAATTATTATAAATGATCATATTAGAAAATATTTAATTACTTTGGCTGCTTGTGCTCGCATTTGTTCATTACTTTCGACAAGACGTTGAACAAGAGCAGCAAATGGACTTTGATCATTACTAGGCTGTAAAACAAAAGCAGAAAATATTATTTATAAGATGGAATATTTAGTTTCTGTTTTCAAGTAGATTTCATTTAAGCATTAAATAAGCAAATAAATAATAATTTAAATCAATATATATATCTATGTAGAATCATTTTGTCTTTATTTATCAATAGCTATTATTTGAAAAAATTTATTCTAGCTATGAAATCTTCAATAATGATTTTCTTTGATTCAGATTGATGAATTATGTCGAAATAATTATAATTTATGCAAAGAAACCGTTTTTTTTAATACCATTTTAAAGCCATCAGTCAGCATCACCGTTTGACTTGGAATTCTTACCAATTGATGGAATTTCCAAGTGTGAATCCAGTGAATTCAACTTTGAAACAAAACATAAGAAAATAAATGTCTGAATTAATGAAAGTTTATAAAATTTCTGAAAATATGTTGAATCAACAAAGGCTACTTACACATTCATCAGAATTTTATTATTTTTCTAACATTCATTTTCTAATGTTTTGTCTCAAAATACATCGCATAAAAAGGCTTGTAAATATCATCATCATGATTCTTTTTCCTTTTATAGTGTCTTAGAATGGCTTAGAGTAAAATTTGATTTTCGAATAAAATGATGTGTATAATATTTTTGGAATAGAGACGCTCTCCATTTCAATCTAAATTTATTTTATTGTGACAAGTTGAACTAGTCTTTTACAGACTATGAAAGATGTCGATTCTGTTTTTCTTTTTATTGAGAGCAAGTCTTAACAACATCCTGAGGACTACTTTTGCAACGATATTCCGTCATAGAATTTTTCGCTGATTCTGTAAAAGCGATAGAAAAAGAACAAGAAAACCCATAAACAACTAGATTTCTAATTTGCAAGTACTTTATAATTGAGTGTTAAAATTAAGAACTAATATAATATTGAATAACGAATAAAGTAGCAATACAATGTTCATGCAATACATCTTACTAATAAAAATATCCCTCATGCATTTAGCATTTTTACCTGTCCATGTTCCTATATTTCAATGTAAAATCTATATTTAATTTCATTACTGACAAAACTTTATTTTTTACCTTTTGTAAAAGTTGTATACGTTGAATATCTGTTTGAAGTGCATCACTACTTAATAAGACAACACGTGCTAGATCTCGCATATAGTTTGACATGGAAAATTTTTCTTGATTTAAATAATTTTTATAAACATGCTAAAATGAAATCGAATTAATTCAAATAAACAACGAGCAAGTAAAAAATAAATTACTTCATAAAATATTATTGTTTTATCTAAAGAACTTAATGATATTGAATCATGTATTTGATCTTTTTGTAAAAGTTCAATAAGAAAGTCGAGTGATTTTTCATATGATAATAAATCATGATAAGTATTTGCTAAAAGACGAAATGTATCTGGATTACATGTTTCCATTGCTCTATAAATTTCAAATAATAAACAAAAACAATTGATTTAAAATAGAAATTTACTTAAGATATTTTTTAAGAATCATTCGAAAAATTGATAATGATAAACAAAGTTTACACGTAAAACTCCACTGTTCTGCACGGTGTGATTTAATAACATCATCAAAATTTACTTGATTAATTCTTTCAACTTTCTTTTCAATTTCATTTGTTAATAAATCACATTTTGCAATTAATCGTTGTATAAGTAAAAAAACAAGTATACAATCATGATCAGCTCCACGTTTAACAAATTGTTCAGGTAAAAATATTGTTAATAATTGAACATGTCGTGATAAATTATGTACATCAATTTTTTTTAATTCACCTTCAATAATTTCTCCATAAGTTTTTGTTTCAACAATTTTTGCTTTAAAATCACTTGATTGTACTGAACCAACGAATTTAAGTTGTTCATCATATTTTTCGATTTGTTTTTTAGTTTGTTCATTTTGAAACTTATTGAAGAGAAAAATAAAATTAATAAAAGGAATGTTTTCAAAGAATTAAAAAAACCTTACTTGCATATTTTTAACAGTTTCACGAAATTTTAATATTGTTCTTTCATGATCTCCAATTGTATATTGAAGTTGTTCGATTTGTCTTTCTTTCTACAACGATGAATCTTTGGTAAATTAAAAAGAAACAAAGAAATAAAATGTTCAAACCTCACGAAGTTGGTTCTGTAATAAATCAATATTTTCTCTTAGATCATGTTCAAGTTCTTTGACATGTTCTTCCATTTCTATTTCAAAAAATACATAGATTAAATTTTTAAATAATACATTATTTTTACCTTTGTTCATGTCACAAAGTGATTCCTTTCGAAAATCAACAAAAAATTTATATTAAAATAAAATGAATATAAACTTACAAGATTATCAACTGTTTCTTGTAATTCTCGAACTTGATCTTCAAGTGATAGATTTTTAGTTGTTAAGATATCAACCATTTGTTGAGCACCCAAACATGTATCCACCTATAGATGAAGAAAATTTGTTTTGATTAACATATTAAACATAATATAACTAACAGTGGTCAATCACATTTACTAGTTAACTATGTGATCAGCTAACACTGAAGAATGTACTAGTTTCAAGAACACAATGTCAAAGATGATAGTTTTTTACTCGATCGAAAGCTGTAATGCAAAACAAAAGTTTCGCAATTGATCGAACATTCGATTTTCTTCGTTTTTTTTGACTAATTGCAACTGATTCTGCGACCTTACCAAGGAAAGGCTACTTTTCGAAAACAGCAGTGTTTTTTTTATAAAGCTTAAATTAGGGCTTTTGAGATCGAGGAATCCCGATGTCTAATCAGTGATTAGAGGTTTTCAAGTTTGATTTTCATCATTATTTTCGAAAAATAGCTTTTTCTTGATAAACACCCTAGTTTTTCGTTACCTGCTATGCGGTTACTTAAGAGTAACTTACGATTCTCACAGGACAGAAATAGTCACTGATAAATATCATATATCATATCATCAACTGAACTAAAACGATATATTTGCTCACCGAGGTAATTTTTTTATTCAATGCTGCACATCAATAATCATAACAATAAACTATAGAAAAACAAACTGGAAACTAACTTGCTCAGTTCTCTATTTTATTCTTTATTCTTGAAGGTTTTTGTATCAGATTATCAAATTAAGAGTAAAGACATGACAAAAATTCACAACTAGATGATAAAAAATTCTATTTATCTTCATATGCATAGAAGAAAGAACATTATTTGAAAAACTAAATTAGACTAAAACATAATTTTCGATTGTACACTTTCAAAGAAACGCTATTATTCTGTTAAAAATATGAGTTTAATGAATGTTTTTTTTTTTAGATATTCAAACTAAACTAATAAAATTTCTTAAAATATTTCTATTAAACCTGTTCTTGTAAATCAGCAATTGTTGCTTGCATTGTTGTAATATCAGCTTTAGCATTTTCATTCTCTTTTGTTAATACTTTAACTTTATGTTCTAATGTTTCGGATTGTTTTTTTAATATATCATTTTCAGCTTGTTTTGTTAATGATAAATCACGTAATCTAAATAGAAAAAAGTTATTGAATAATTTCGAAAGAAAAAAAAGCTTAGAAACTTTTACTTAATTAATGCTTGTTCCAATTTAATTGTTCGTTCATCATCAATTTTTTTTTGTATTCCATTTGCTACTTGATTAGGTCCATTTAATTGTATTTCACCTTTAATAACATCTAATTCTAATTGAACTTCTTCAATTTTTTCTTTTAATGTTGTATTTTCTGACGTTACAGTTTCAAGCTATGCAATCAAAGAAGATTCATAATGCGATAAAGTTGCAACAATAGTAAAAGAAAAATTAAACTTACTTTTTCTTCAGCCATTTCAAGATCGAGTGTAAGTGATTCGATTCGTTCTTCAGTATCATTCATTTCATCACGATAAGCAGCAAATTTATCGCGTGTATCTTTAAGTTCATTTTCTTGTTGTTGTAATTTATCATTTAATTCTTTCATACGTTCTTGTGCTTCACGTTTATATGATTGTAACTAAATATATATATATATATAATGTATTTTTATATCAGAAATAAATATTTTATAGATATACTTGATCAAGTTGAATTTTAGTACGTTCAAATTCTTTAAGTTTTTCAACATCATCGCGACGTTTTTTTATTAATGTTTGAATTTGTTCTTCTTGATCTGTTATTTTAGTTTTGAGATTATTGATTAATTCTTGAGATTCAGATAAATCAGAGATTGAACTTTGTTGAATATTAGTTGATTGAGTTAAAGGTGCTGGTGATGGCTAAATTATATATGACATGTTTTTACTCTTTGAAATCAACCAAATGAAAATATTAGTATTTTAAATTTGAGTAACAAAATGTTGTCAATTGATCCATCACTTTCTTACCGATTGCAAATTATCGATTATGCTGGTTTTCTAGAAAATTAACATAGAGATAATTAAGAGAATTTTCTGTGGTCATATGAGGAGCCAGCATGACCAATAATCGGCAATCGGTAAGATAACAATTGATCAGTTGAAAATCTTCTCCTACTGTAGACTGCGATGCCGATAAATTACATGTCGAGTCAAACAATTATTTTTGAAAAAGTTAAATTAACGTTTTGTTTTTATTCTTCTTTTGCTACAAAAGTTGAATAACAAGGATACATATATATTACCACTGGTATTGTGGGTTTAGGTTGGAGTACAGCTACTGGAGGTGGTTTAATTTCTTCTTTAGGTGGTTTAATTTCTTCTTTAGGTGGTTTAATTTCTTCTTTAGGTCGTTTAATTTCTTCTTTAGGTGGTTTAATTTCTTCTTTAGGTGGCGATATTCTTTCATTTGTGGCTATTTTAGTAATCTCATTTGATGATTGTGTTGATCGAGTAAGGCCTTCAAGAAAAAAAACACAAATAATAATAATGATAAATATAATATTAAATCAGAATAGATTAGGATAAAGTTATATTAACCATAACCATGAATTAAATTACAAAAAAGAGACATAGCATAAACAAGAAAACAATTGTTCCCGAACGATTCTTTGATACAAATTAAAATTTTATAACATATTCTAAAGAATTCCTTCAAATATTTTTAAATAATTTCATTACATGACTAGTTGTAAAATCTTGATTGTTTAGCACTGACAGAAGAAAAAAAAAGTGTCATGCATAAAGTAAAAACTAGCCGCCATTTTATTACCTGTTGAATCGTCATCAATATCAATTCCTAATTGATGATAAGACAAATGTTAAAAGTTTTCTATCATCTGCTTATGAAAGAATGTCTTTTCTATCTCTTTAATTATAATATACCTGCAGGTCGTATAGATGTATGCGATGTTGGTGCTCGAAGTCCACTTTGCTTTGATGGTAAACCAGATGATTTTGCTGGGATTCCAGGTGTTGTTGGTATTGGAATATTTCCTGTACTACTTGCTTGAGATTTAACTGAATGGCTAGAAGCTGATCGTGGAAGATTTGTTTGAGAATCACTAATAACAGATTCAATTTGTCCAGCTCGAACATAAAGACCATGATTCTCATTACATGAAAAATATGAAACGATTGTTCCATCTAAAATTAGTATTTATTATTCAAATATGATAGAGAATAAATTTAAAAACAATACCTTTCTTCTGTACAGTGCCATTATTTTTACCTTTTGGTTCATCGAGAACAACACCGATCCATTCACCTATAAAAATATGTTTAATACAATGTATCAAACAAAAATAAAGAGTTTGTTTACCATCGGCAAATTCTGTTTTTCCTACAAATGCAATTGTACCTAAGCCTTTCCCAGCAATGGATACTCTTTGATCAAGATGAAATGAACTTGGGGAAGCCATTTTTGAGACGAAAATGACAAATAAATGTATGATGACTGTTTATTGAATCGCTAATAAATTCGATTGATTCATCGATATATTTTTTTGACCAATCATATTTCATACAGTTGTCACTAGAATCCATTTTTAATTAAAAATAAAGCATTAAATTATTGCAATATTGATTAATCTATCTTGATTATTTCAAAATATAGAAATATAACAATCACCTAATACTAATATAACTAATAAAGGTCATTGCTAACTATCATGATAACATAATGGTTTACTTCTGCTTATTCTTTTACAGAATATTACTCTATTTAAACAATAAAAAAGAAAAATGGTACTTCTCCATGGAAAATTAGTTCTTGCTGGTTAGTGATTTATCAATTTTAATGAGCATAAAAGATATATTATGGATATTTTAGGCGATATGACTGTTGGCAAAACAGCTATATGCCATGTTGCTGGTAACGATGCAACAGCATTTCCTAAAACATATAATTGTGTAAGTTTCTCTTGTCAATATATGCAGATCTAAGTTCAGCGTCAGTCACTCTCTCATGCAGATCGTCATGTGTGAAAGGAGAGTCAAGAAAAATACACCAGAATCTTTTGCGATAGATCGAGTTGAAAAACGTTACTAAATTAACGAAAAAGTATTATGATCTGAAATTTTCAGGCCATGATCCTATGGCGTTCACAGTTTAAGTACATATATAAAACATATTTTAATAATTTCAAAATTTTTACTATTGTTAAAATATCCGTACAATAGTCATATACCTTATTTTTTGTAAAATAATGTGCCAGATAGAGCCCGGTATAATACAAGACATGATAGTAAGAATCTGTATTTGAACTTGTAATCACCAGAATACATATCAGTTTATTAATTATTTCTTATAGTTAATTTATTTCATATCACTTTCACATACAACAATAAAAAATTTCGATAATGATCAATATTATACATACAGTAAAACAGAGAAACATTTTAATGACACGTTCATCACAGGAAATAACTATAAAAAATAGAACAATGAAAAAAAATATTCGATAACACAAATGATACAAAACTAAAATAGTAGGAGCGTCCTGTCGTATGTCTAGCTTTGGTACCGTACTGATTAGTTTTGTTATTTCATATATTTGAATTCGTTTTCGTTACCAACGAGCAACAAAATACAACACACTAGAAACAGAATTGAACAGTTATTAGCATCAAAACATAATCATTTTATTAAAACGAAAAATTCTTTAAAAAAAAACAATCCTTTTTGTATATAAGTTTTCTTTTCATATGGAGATGTACTGTTCCAACATTCATTTCATATTTTATGAATTTGTTGTTGGTCTTCAGTTACGGTGGAAATTTTTCAAAATAACAACCAAAAAATGAATTCTTGAAGAGCAAATATAGAGTTACACAAAGGAGGAGGGAAAGAATGAATGCTCTTCTTTTTCAATTCATTTATGTTCACAAAAATGTAGAATTTAACTATTATAGACAAGCACGGCTGATCTTGTTCTCAAACAAATTCGCGTACCAGATAGTGATGATACTGTGGTTCGTATATATATATCCAATTTCAATAATATATTTGACGTAATACATGTATTTATGTATTTCTAGGAATTTTTTTTATTTGATAGTTCTGGTAATTCTATTTATCTTGATTCATTAAAAGATGTGGTATGTTTGTTATTAAAAATATAATCTACAAAAATATATATTTATTTGAATTCAGTGGGTAACTATGGATATGTATTGTATTGTATATGACATAACTAATCGAAATTCATTTAAAAATTGTGCTATGTGGCTTGAAGAATTAAGTCAATCACGTGGTGATCATAATGTATTTGGTTAGGAATTGAAAAACGAATCCTTTTTTTCTTTTACAATAAATTCTTGTTTTTATTATGTTTAGGTGTTTTAGTTGGCAATAAAAAGGATAAAGAAAGTTATCGAGCAGTTTCAACACAAGAAGGTAAACAATTGGCAACTAGTCGAAAAATGGAATTTTTTGAATGTTCAGCTGTAAGTTGAATTCTTTCGATGATTTGAAGATTTTCTTTTGCTACTTTTTTTTCATTATTTATATTTTAGAAAGATAATAAAGGCATAGCAGAAATTTTTAAATATTTAGCAAGTGAATTTGTAAGTCGGTATCGAAAACGTATTCGAACATTGGAAAAAATGGGACGTGAAACTAATTAGGAACTTTGTTTTTCTTGTTTCGTTCTATTATTGTTTAATATCAATGAATATATAAAAAATAAAATCTTATGAACTTTATTTTACTTCATTGCTCCTTGATAAAAGGTTATCAATATATGACCTCTTACATTTGTATACAGGTGAATAGTTGATTCTATTCTTTTTATGATCGTTGGGTGTAAATTGATGGACTGTATTGTAGTATGAACAAAAGAAAAAGGTCAATATGTAATGAGAAGAAAAAAAAAAGAACGGAGAATCAGAACTCAAATGGCATCGTTTTCTTTTGTGGGCCATTCTTTTTTCTATCGATGACAGATGCCATATAACACAGGCGGACTGGTGCCAATGTGGAACAAGTGGTTGAATCAATGGTTAGTAACAAATTATTTGGAACACATGAACTATTGACATGCAAAATTAAATAATAACTAAATTGTACAATTATATTCATGCATACTTTCTTACGCATTCCAATCGATGAATATTCATAGACGAAATTCATAAGTTGTTTGTATAGAAATATAAATAAAACTTTTTTTTTAAATAAATAACCAGGCTGTATACTATTTCAATCAATGAAAATTGGCAAAGTAATATGAATTAGAGCTTCATTATGTCTGTTCTAACAATTAGAAAAAAACAATTAAAATAAAATACAAAAAAAAAATTCTCTTCGTCTTTTATGATTCATAATGTTTAGTTAATACTTAGAATCTGTATTTATTCATAAATACAATGCAGAAATCATAAAAAAAGATTCATCGAAATAGGCATTTTGAATTAGAAACTGTCTTTTTATTAGGACATAGTAGATTTTTTTCAAATATTTCTAACATGATGCAGATATTGTTTCGATAGTGAAAGAAGAACTTTAACAATATTTGTTTTCTAAATAGTAATAAATAAGAACGATTCTTATCTTATCATTGGAAATGATATATGGTTTTTCATTTAATAAGAATTGAACTCAAGTGAAAAAAACGTACATTTATTTGAATTTGTTTTTTCTTCAGTACAAAACACCAACAAGAATTTTTCTATCACGAGTATATTAAAAATAAAATATCTGTTGAATACACCTGTAAGATAATAATTGACGTTAATAATACCATTGAAACACGTAGTTAATGATAATGCAGATAAATATAGCAAATGCTTGTTTCATTGCAACAACGTTTCATAGGTGTATGTTGGTTATTCCCCAGTATTTAAATACACACAAGATTCATAAAATCTTTCCTATATCACAGGATAACACAGCAAGATTAAAGCCATATGATCCATCCATCTACTTTTGTCTTTCTTGTCGTATGCATTTATCTTAGTCGATATTCAGTACAAGCAATTGTGTTCCCATGTAATAAGACTGCTTCATGTGGTTGTTCACAATTCAATACAAATATCAATGCAAGAATTGTTGGGGGTGAAACGGCCGCTAGTCATAGTTGGGGTTGGGCTGCATCATTGCGTATTTCGTCTGCAAGTAACATGTGTGGCGGCAATATTCTCTCTAGCTATTACGTACTTACAGCAGCTCATTGCGTTACAGAGATGGTACCCACAACTAGTATGTTATCAGTCGTTGTAGGTACAGACACACTAAATAGTACAGAAGGTCAAAGACTTCGATTGTCGAAAATTTTTATTCATCCTAATTATAACCCAAAAACCGATGAAAACGATATTGCTATTCTATATCTTAGTAAGCCAATAAATTTTAGCGATTTCAATGTTGCCAAAATTTGCATACCATCTATGTCCGAATCCGAACAACTTCGATATCCTATTGTCAACAAACCACTTGTGGCCATTGGTTGGGGGCGTAATTGTTCAGGTGGTAGCTCACCTAACACTCTCAGACAGGTGACAGTTAAAACCATTGAAGATACGGAAAAAATGTGTAAAAATTTAATCGAAAATATCAAACTTCAGTTTTGTGCTGCAGTAAATGGTGGAGGGAAAGGTAAGTAATGTGGTATAATGTCTTACCAAAAAGTAGCATTATTTGTTGCTTAAAGGTACATGTCAAGGTGATTCAGGTGGTCCATTAATGCACTATTCCGAAAAAGAACAACTATGGTTGCTCGCAGGTATAACTTCGTATGGTCGTGGATGTGCATTACCTAACTATGCTACTGTTTATACACGAGTAAGCGTTTATATCAAATGGATTCAGTCAATTGTGGGTGATGATGGTATGGTAGCCATTCCACAAAATAAAGCAAATGTTAAAAGCATGCCAATTCTGATCATTTTTTTTCTAATTTCATGTCGAGTTGTGATACGCATTTAGACTTAAAAGATAAGATATCATTTTGATGTTGGCTATTCATAGTAAATAAGAAGATTCAATTGATGCTATAGTAGCTTTCATGGTAAGAGATATGACCATAGACAATACACAGATGACACGGTAGAATCTCTAATACTATTAAGTATTCAATTTATTGTTGATTTGTCTTAAACATACTCGCAATGTATAATGCTAACTTCTTTTCCAATGGCTTCAATTTGATCACTCACAAAACGAATAAAATAATAGTTAACGGTATATATTTGATTTGTGATGAAAAAAATAAGTATTCAAATTAGGTTATTGTCAATTCACCATAAAATTCGATAGAATTTCCATCCATCATCTATCATCGCTTGAAATAAAAAAACAAATAAACGAGAATCATTGAATATAGATCTTAAGCATGATAGAATTCACAGAGTTGTATGAATTTTACAATATTCATAAGAGTAACATATGAGAAGTTGCCCAGATTGAGGATATGAGTATAAGTGT